GGCGAGGGGGCCGTGCACCAGGGGTCCCAACAATAATTATTCTTTAGAAGTAATAATGTTCAACAACAACAACAACAACAACAACAACAACAACAACAACAACAACAACAACAACAACAACAACAACAACAACAACAACCACAACCACAACCACAACCACAACCACAACCACAACCACGACCACGACCACGACCACGACCACGACCACAACCACAACCACAACCACAACCACAACAACAACCATAACCACAACCACAACCACAACCACAACCACAACCACAACCACCACAACCACAACCACAACCACTACCACCAAAAAAACACATGTCCCTAGAACATAAACCAGGTAGGCTAAAGCAAGACCGTCTCAGCCAGAAATGCTCAAAGAAAATGTCGTGCTGACCACAGGAGCTTCTTGGAACATTCTTTAGCGGGCCCACAGGCGAGCCAGGCGAACCTGGGCCGAAGGCCACTCGATATAATGTTGCCGTTCCGTCGTCGCGGGTCGGCCGCCTGGCCTCGGGGACCGTCTCGTTGCCGGGGGCGGTCGAGTTCACGACGGCGGTTGCCACGGCCTGCTGCCGCTGCTGGGAGGAGGCGTTGTCTGCCGCTGGCGCCTGCTCCTTCGCAGGGGGGGGAGGAGGAGGATCAGCTCGGCCGGCTGGACAGTTCGAACAGACAGGGATACAGACTCCTGCCCTTTGCAACGGAGGAGGGGCGGCAACAGCAGCAGCGGCGGCAGCGCGAGGAGCAGGGGAAAGAGGGACGATGGGGGGAGCAAGAGGAGGACCAGCAGCAGCAGGAAGGAGAGGAGGCGAGGAGGAAGAAACCATTGTAGACCCAGCACTCCTCTCCGATGCTGGCATACAGCCTGCCTCCCGTCCCGTGTCCCCTCCTCATGAGTACATGCACTCCCTCTCCATGCGGCGAGGAGCTCTCGCTGGAGCGGTGAGAGCTCCATGGAGCTGCCAGAAATTCAAGACCTCGGAGGTCTGAAGTAGGAAAAGATTATGGTAGTCCTGCCACAAGCTCGGCCCCCGAAATGCTGAGGCGATGAGAATAACTAACGCTGTGCTGCCACGAGAACTGGCCATGAGATGGCTGGAATGGTCTGGAGCCTGCGATTCACAGGTGCGTCCTGCTTGGGGAAAAATGTGCCGGGACGTTGTGTGTTGACAGGGGACCAGCCGCCATGTGTGCTCGGTTCTCTTGACCTTTGGAGCAGCGGTGCGCAGGCCTGGCCTCCGCCTCCCTCACCTCCTCCTCCTCCTCTTCCTCCTCCTCCTCCTCCTCCTGCTCCTCCTCCTCCGCCTCCTCCTCCTCCTCCTCCTCCCCCTAGGCCCCAGAGCAGCGGCAAATTGATCTGATCAGCCCATGCGCCCCAGAGCTCTCGACCCCTTCCCCCAGGCCAAATTTGCATCCCGAACCTTTTTTGTTGACAGTCCTGGGACCTGGACGGAAACAGTCTCCAGACTGTCAGCCTGCGTGGACCCGAGACAGTGTGTTCTAGCATACCATGTGGTGCGATCCACGTGGTACAATACATGTGGTATGATATATGTGGTGAGAGCTGCGTGGTGCAACTTATGTGGTGCAATCAATGTGGCGTAGGATATAGAGTGCGATGTATGTGGTGCGCAATCTAAGTGGTGTTATGAGCAATGCTACCTGCGTGCTGGAATCTAGGTGGTGCAAACAATGTGGAGCTAACTATTCATCCATGTGGTGCACGCTATATGGTGCAAGCTATGTGGTACAATAGATGTGGCCCGATATACGGGGTGTGCGGAATATGTCGTGCAAACATATGGAACCATGTCCAACATGTGTGGTGCAAGTTATGTGATGCAAAGTGTGGTGAAAGCTACGTGGTGCAAGATATATCTATACATATGTAGCTTACATGTGCACCACATCAAATTCACCACGTTGATTCTCCCTTCTAAAAACAGAATAGGATCTACCCCCCCCCGGCGTTATCGGTCCCCCTTTCGGGTATGTTAATCATATATGATTCTGACCACATGTCCATCCTAAATATGAAATCACAAAATCAGATGCCAACCGGGTTCCCCCCCCTGAGGGAGCCCTGTCAAGACACTATGCGGTGACATTTTTTGTTCTAGCAGAACACTTGTTCACGAATCCCTTGCAAAAAAGGGACGAAGTGTACACGCGCGCGTCGTCGCGCGCGCATGCCGAAATCCTTCAAAAACCTTCGGTACCGGAAGGATTTCGCAATCGAGTTTCCAAACAAAAAATCGTACAACAACACAGGGTTTCGCAACACTGATATGCTAAAAAAGCTTCCGCGCGAGCTCTTGCGAAATCTGAAGGGAACCATGGGTTTTTCAAGAATTTCACAAAATGCTACGAAACGGGCTTCGCGCGCGCGCATGTCGAAATCTGTCGAACGCCCTTGCGCGTGTGCCGTCAGGAGAATCCTCTGCAAAAAACGGGACGAACTGCAGACGCGCGCGTCGTCGCGCGCGTATGCCGAAATCCTTCAAAACCCATCGGTTTCGGAAGGATTTCAAAATCGTGTGTCCAAAAAACCTACAAAAGCACAAAGTTTCGCCACACGGATTTTCAACAAAAGCGTGCGCGCGCGCTCTTGCGTCGTCGTCGTCGTCGTCGCCGTCCTCCCTCCTCCCGCGTCGTCGTCGTCGCCTACGTCGTCCTCTGTTTTTCCTCGTGTTCGTCGTCGTCGTCCTCTTTGGCGTCGTGGTCGTTTCCGTCGTCGTTGTCGCCGTGGTCGTCCTTCCTCCTCCTCTCTCGTCGTCGTCGTCGTCCGTTGTCGACGTCTCGTCGTCGTCCCTCCTATTTCGTCGCCGTCGTCGTCGTCGTCGTCGTCGTCGTCTTCCCTCCTCCCTCGTCGTTGCCGTCGTCGGCGTCGCCGTCCTTCCTCCTTCTTCGTCGTTCGCGTCGTCGCCGTCCTCCCTCCTCCCTCGTCGTTGTCGTCGTTATCGTCGGTGCCGCCGTCGTCGTCCTTCCTCCTCCCTCGTCGTCTTCGTTGGCGACGTCGTCGTCGTCTTCGTCGTCGTCGGCGTCGGCGTCGTTGTCGTCGTCGTCGTCGACGTCGGCATCGTCGTCGTCGACGTCGGCGTCGTCGTCGTCGGCGTCGTTGACGTCGTCGTCGTCGTCGTCGGTGTCGTCGTCATCGTCGTCGTCGGCGTCGTCATCGTCGTCGTCTTCGTCGTCGTCGTAGGCGTCAGCGTCGTCGTCGTCGTCGTCGTTGGTGTCGTCGTCGTCGTCGTCGTTGTCGGCGTCCTCGAAGTCGTTGGAGACGTCGTCGGTGTCGTCGTAGTCGCTGTCGTCGTCGTCGTTGTCGCTGTCGTCGTCGGCGTCGCTGTGGTTGCCAAGTGCCATTTGGTACCCACCGTCACGGTCTTAAGAGATGTTGCAAACCAAGTTGCGGGTGGGTGGGTAGGATGTTTGCGCGAGCAGTGGAGTGGACAACTCACTGCGAACAGAAATTAATTGCACCACGTATGTTGCACCACCTATGTTGCACCCCGTGAGTATATACATCTAAATGGACATACATACATATAGATACACAGATACACACCTATATGTATGTGTACATATACATATGTTCAGCCATCGATGCTATGCAACCTATGTGGTGTGGCGTAGGATGCAACCGATTGCAATACATGGCAATCGATTGAAATCGATGGCAATGCAGCGTAGGGGGGGAGGGGGGGGCGGCGACGGGCGGCGACGGCGACAACAAGCGCAGCGACCGACACCCAGGCCCAGGAAGTAGCGGCGACGGCGGACGGCGGCGACGGGCGGCAACGGCGACGACAAGCTGGCCAACGGACCGACCAGGCCCAGGAAGCAGCTGCGACGAATGGCGGCGACGGGCGGCGACGGCCACAACAAGCCGGCCGGACCGACACCCAGGCCCAGTTCTTTTCCGACGAAAGGACGGGCAGCGAAACGCGGTGTGAGGAGGAGGGGAGCGATCCGAGGCCTCGCCCCCTGAAGTCCCACCCGGCTTCGCACGTCGCGCCCCGCGATGCGCGACGATGCAAGGAGGGAATCCAGCGCCTGCCGCGCGAGGTCCCCGAGGATCGATGCCCCAGGCGGCGGTGATGGATAAATCCCCGCCTCGGAGACGAGCGAGAATCTTGGCGCCAGCGCGCCCCCACGCCGCCCCCTCAGTTACAGAAGGACGCCCGCTCTGGACTGGGCCGCGACACGCAAAGTGCAATCATCTCCATGCCCTCGCGGGTGGCCTGGAAGTCCCGACCCTTTCCCCAGGACCAGCTCCTCCTCCTCCTCCTCCCCCTCCTCCTCCTCCTCCTCCTCCTCCTCCTCCTCCTCCTCCCCCTCCCCTCCTCGGGCCGTTTTTGTTGAAGGCCCCGGGGCTCGGCGAGGACCCCCCAGGAGGCGAAGGCGGCGAGTGACCCCCCGTGCTGATGCGTGCAGGGACGCCACAGGCCTTTCGGGGCCGCAGCTCGGGCCCTTCAGCGACAGCTCGGGACGACCCGGGCACCCCCAGAACGCCCTCGGCGAGGCGCAGCTGCTGGCAGGCATCTCGAGGCGAGGAAGCCTCCAGCAACCAACGACAACCCATGAAAATGTGCGAGGTCAGGAAGAGTGGAAGGCGGGGGAGGGGAGCACCCGTGCGAGCCGAAAATCCGACTCGGGTGAGCTGGCCAGAGGGCGCTTCACGGTGCGTCGGCAGCTGAAGCCGAAGCCAAACCTAAAGTGCACAGAGAATGGAGAGGACCCACCCTGCAGATTTGGTTGACAGCACATCGTTGAGCAGTGCTGCAGCCTCCCATGAGCACAGACCCCCCCAGAGCACCAGCCAGACAAGTCGGGTTTGCACCCTCATGCCTTCCAGGATTCTGGGCGCGCTTCCGTGGAAGAGAGGAAGGGGTGAAGAAGAGCGAAGCTCGGGGGCGGACAGAACCACCCTTCGCAGAACACCCTCTGATGAAAAAACACATGATGGGCCTGTTTTCCACCAACACCACCATAAGTTGGAGGGGGGAAGGAGGTGGAGGACGAGGAGGACGAGGAGGACGATGAGGAGGAGGACCCCCTCCCCCTCCAACTTGTGGTGGTGGTGGTGGAAAACAGTCCCATCAACACACACACACACACACACAAACAAACAAAAAAGGGATAAACCAAAAAAACAAACAAAAAACGGGCCGGGACCAAAGACTCGGCGGGCGCAGGCCCGGAGAAGAGGGCGGCACGAGCAGCCTCTCGAGCACCGACAGGGCACAAGCCGCCGGCCTCGCCATCGCTCCTCGAAGCCCTGCGAATCATGGGAAGCGCAAGTTCCCTCGAAGCACCGTGCTCAGTGAGCCGGAAGTGCGTTTCCCATATCATTTCGGATTATGGGAAGCGCAATTCCGGACGACTGCCCATCCGAGCGATGCCAAGACAACCTCTCGAGGAGGAGGAGGAGGAGGAGGAGGAGGAGGAGGAGGAGGAGGAGGAGGAGGAGGAGGAGGGAGGAGGAGGCTCTCGAGAGCCGAAGAAGAACACTTCGCGAGCCGACGCGGCAAGGGAAAGGGGGGGCTTCGGCAACCTCCGAGGCCCTCCGCCGCCCGCCGAGGTCCTCGAAGATCGACCCCCCGGGCGGTGGCTGGGCGGCGCCGCTCACGAGGCGGGAGAGCCCAGAATCGAATCGATAAGTTGGATCGGCGATCGAAAAAGAATGGGATCGGCGGAAATCGGCAGCCGAGTGGGATGAGTCGAATCGGCGGAAATCGGCAGGCTAGCAGGCCTCCAGAATAGAGGTCAAATCAAATCCGGGGAATCGAAATGAGCCCTGACAAGGGGATAGGGGGAGGGGGGAGGGCTTCTTAGAAGGAGGCTGCTTCTTAGAAGGCGCTCGCCATACATCTGAAGTTCAGGCCCGCGCCTTCTGAGAAGGGTGCTGCTGAGCAGCCTTCTCCCTTCCCCCGTACCCCCCCTCTGCGTGTGGCCGAGCGGTTGTGCTGCTCGAGATCGGCCCACTCGACCCCTCCCGGGGCCCAGACGGACCAGCTTCCCGAGCTGCGTCCGGCCGTGACGTCAACGGGACCCCCCGAGGGCCCACCGCCGTGGCTTCCACTCGCCCTCCTCCGATCGGGGCTAAAGGTGCCCCTGGCCCGAGGTGCCCCCGGCTTTTCGCTCCATTCCGGAGCCCATCGGGCCCCCTGGGCCTCGTGAGGGGTGCTCTGTGGGGCCGTGGGCGGAAATCCTGGGGGGCACCTTGGGCCAGGGGCACTTCTAGCAACACCCGATCCGAGGCGAGGCGCCGCGCTCCTTGAGCTGGTCCTCCGGCACCGCGGCGAGCGGCGAGAGGGGCGTCAGCGCAGGCGGGGGGGCCGGCGCCGCGGCGGGCGCGCGCGGCGCGAAGGGCGCCACGGCGGGCGGCATCTCGGAGGCGTCGGTGGCCTCGTCCTGTGTGGGAGCCCGCGGGAGGGGGAGACGGCGGCAGGGGAGGACCGAGGAAGAGGAGAAGGAGGAGGAGGAGGAGGAGGGAGGAGGAGGACCGAGGAGGAGGAGGAGGAGGAGGAGGAGGAGGAGGAGGAGGAGGGAGGAGGAGGGACCTCAATTTTGCCGAATGTCAAAAAAGGAGGAGGAAGGAGGTGGAGGAGGAGGAGGAGGAGGAGGAGGAGGAGGAAGAGGAGAAAGATGAAGAGGAGGAGGAGAAGGAGGAGGAGGAGGAGGAGGAGGAGGAGGAAACCCTCCTCGGCTGCGCCGTCGTCGTCATCGCCGCCGCCGTCGGAGGAGGGGGAGGCGCCGGAGGAGCACCAGAGAAAACCCAGGAAGCACCATCACCGCTGCAACGAGCCCTCCCGCCATTACAAGCCACACCCTCGCGAGGCCCGACTGGCCACCCTCTGCACTGCAAGAGCGGCGACGCCCCGCAGAAGATGGGCGCCCTCTGCGCACACGGGCGCGCCCCAGGCCGGAAGAGAGCTGAGCCCTGCCCTCCACCGCTCGAGCGGAGGACAAGGGAGCGCGGCGAGGCAGGAGCGTGGCGCTCTGCAAGATATGTCCAGCGAGGGCCCTACCGCCCCCCTGCCCGACGCAGCACTTCCACCCGAGGATAGCTACAAAAGTTTGTTTAAATGCCCCTCTGGAGGAGGAGGAGGAGGAGGAGGAGGAGGAGGAGGAGGAGGAGGAGGAGGATAGGAGGAGAAGGAGGAGGAGGAGGAGGAGGAGGAGCCGAGAATCCTGGGGCTCGCCGCCGACCATGGGGGCCTTCGGAACGTGTCCTGGAGGTCGACGTTGTGAAAACATGCGGACGGGGGAGGGCTACACACACACACTGTTTTGCGTCGGCGGCTAGGCAGAGTGACTGCGCTGGCGGATAGGACACACACACACACACACGCCACAATTGCACAAGCTTGCACCTGCACCTGTGGCCATGAGACGTGAGGGAGCCCCTCGCGAGCACCCCTGTTTGCAAAGGCGCCACCCTCCGTCCGTCCAGCTGTCACACGTGTTCAGGCTTCTGGTCGTCCGCTGACCCTCGGGAAGTCTCAAGCGAGCACCCCATTCCCCCAAACACCGTGTGTTGCGCCTGGGGGCTCCTGCTTCTCGTCTGAGGAACTGGGCCTGGCTGGCAGTCCAGCCACCTGTGGCCGCCCGTAGCCGCCCGTCGCCGCCGCCCGTCGCCGCCACGTTCTCTGGGCCCCAGTGCCTGTCCGGCGGACTCGTGGCCGCCCGGCGCAGCCCGTCGCCACGGTCCGTCGCCGCGCCCCTCTCTGCTGCACTGCATCGGTTTGCACTGCATTGCACTGCTCTGCATTGCTCTGCATTGCCTCGCACTGCTTTGCATTGCAAATACCATTGCATTGCACTGCTCTGCATTGATTAGCATTGCATTGCATTGCATTGCTGTGCATTGCATTGCGTCGCATTGCGTTGCGCTGCATGTCATTAAGTTGCATTGCGTTGCATTGCGTTGCATTGCTTTGCTCTGCGTTGCATTGCGCTTCATTGCGTTGCATTGCTGTGAATTGCTTTACATTGCTTTGAACTGCGTTGCATTGCGTTGCATTGCATTGCACTGGTTTGCACTACGTTGAATTACGTTGCATTGCTTCGCATTGCCTTGCATTGCTGTACACCATAAAGATTGCACCACATGGATTGCACCACGCAGATTGCACATGGATTGCGCCGCCTCGATTGCACCGCATAGAGTGCACCGCATAGACTGCAAGAAGTCTCTGTTTGAAATCCACTCTGGCTAACATGTGCAATAGGATGCGCTCTGCATCGTGAGCGTTTTTTATTCGGCTTTCTTTGATTCGGCGTTTCGACGTTGGGCAGAAAGGGGGGGAAAGGGGGGGGGTCTGGCTCCAGGCCTCTGCTTAGTGCGGCTGTTTGCGACAGTGCGTCCCATGAGCGGAGACCCCACCTGCTCGAAACAGGAGCCGCAAACAACAGAACTACTCCATGGGGGGGGGGGGAGGGGGGGGGGGCGAGGGCCCGCGCCGATCGGCAAAACGATGAATAAAAAACGAACACGTCCTAGAGAACTGTTCCAACCAACTCGAGGCGAGTGTGCGCGGCGCTGGGGCGAGAGCAACCGTTTGAAGAACTGGTCACCGCCCCTGCGTGCCACTGCCGGAAAACTCGGAGCGACTGCGCCCTGCCGCCGAGGCGAGAGCCCCGCTTTCTGAACACGTACCACCCTCTCTTCGTGCAGCGGCTGCCTGTCCTTTCCAACGGCGGTGCACCGCTCCACGGCGAGAGCCCCACTTCGAAAAGCAACGCCCTCCACCCATCGAACTGCTGAAGCTTGTACGGTCGGCCCGTATCACAAGGATGCGCAATAAAGATGTAGTGGCCTCCGGACGCCCATTTCGAAGCTTTTCGAGCGGAGCGCGGCCAACGAAAGTGGCCAAGGATGGACCGAGGAGGCAAGGATGCAAGGGTACCCTTGGGAAGGTTGCCCATCCTCACTATGCGGGTTGACTGTGTAACGAATGTGCGCGGCGCTGCGGCGAGAACTCGATGTGGGAAAGGTATCGGCCTCAGCCTCCACCGATGTGGCTGCTGCACAATGCAGCATTGGTGGCCATATGTTTGAAGTCTTATGCAGGAACCACATGTTGAAAAAAGAAACTTTCCTTCACTCGTAGAACTAAGTCGGGCATGTCCTGCTTCAGGAGGAGTATTCAAAAATAGTTACAGAATAGCCTGGGTACTATGTTTTACTATCTTTGATTATTTGGGGGGGGGGGGGGGGGGGCATTTTTCGCGTATGTTTATTTTTTCGCCCAAAACTTCCCTGCAGGGGGACAGGCCCGACCTAAGCGTATAACTGCTGCAGGCGGTCAAAAACGACTGCGCGCGAAGCGCCAGGGCGAGAGCCCGTCTCGAAAAGGAAAAGCGCCTCCCATCCGCGCAAGTGCTGCTATGTATTAACCTTAGGTCGGGCGTGTCCCCCTACAGGCAGATTTTGGGCGAAAAAATGAAAAAATACCCCCAAAAATTTAAAGAACAAAAAAAAAACAACTATTTCTTTGACCATTTTTGATTATTCCTCCTGTAGAGGGACAGGCCCGACGTTATGTTAACCCAGATCCGCGCGTCACCAGGGCGAGGAGAAGCCAGTTTTGAAAAGAGCCCCGCCTCCATCCGTGCACACGCGCTGAAAAGTGTGGAGCCTCGGGGCGAGACCTTGCGAAAAGGTCTCCTGCGAAACGCCCAGGTCGACCTGTGGATACGCCCAGCGGCGCGACGAGGAGGAGCTATGCACAAGGCAAAGGGGCGGAGGAGGAAGAGAAGGGAGAGGAACTCGGAACTCGGAACTCGGACGTCCTCGAAAGTCCGCCAGGGGCGGCACTGCCGGGGGTGCGCAGGACGCGAAACCGCCTGCAGACCAAGAGAGCCAGAAGCTCGGACATCAAAACAAAGGCAGGACCGTCGCCATGTATGTCGGCACACGAAGTCGAGTCGAGAGCCGAGCGACCAGGAGGAGGAGAAAGAAGAGAAGGGAGGGAGAGAGGGAGAAGGGAGAGAGGGAGAGAAGCGAGGGGGAGAAGGGAGGGAGAGAGGGAGAAAAGAGAGAGAAGGGCGAGAGGGAGGGCGAGAGGGAGTAGGGAGGAGGAGGAGAGGAGTAAGAGGAGAGAGTGAGAGAGGAGAAGGGGAGAGCGGCGTGCTAGGCGCGGTGGCACGCCGTCCACCGATGCCGTCTCGATGCGCCGGTGCTGCAGAGATGGCCGCTGGCGCGTGCCCTCTGGCGGGCCTGGGCCCCCCCCACAAGAAGCTCCTCCTCCTCCTCCTCCTCTCCTCCACCTCCTCCTCATCCTCCTCCTCCTCATCCTCCTCCTCCTCCTCATCCTCCTCCTCACTCCTCTCTCTCCTCCTCCTCCTCCTCTCCTTATCCTCCTCTCATCTCCTCCTCCTCCTCCTCCTCCTCCTCCTCCTCCTCTTCCTCCTCCTCCCCCACACCTTTGGTTCTGCAGTCCGCAAAAGGGAGGCGCGGGCACGGAAGGCGGAGGAAGCGGCGGGTGAGCAAGAGGATGAGCAGGAGGGTTAGGTCGGGCACGTCCCTCTACAGGAGGGATAGCCAAGAATCGTCAGGAAATAGGCTGGGGACGATTGTTCGAGCATCTGCTTGACCATCTGGGGATATGTTTGGGGTACGTTTTATTTCTCGTCCAAGATCCCCCTGTAGGAGGACATGCCCGTCCTAACAGGAGGAAAGGGAAGATAAGGAAGGGGGAGGATGGGGAAACGGGGAAGCAGCAGCAGCAGCAGCAGGAGCAGGCGCGGAGCGAGAGGAGCAGAAGGGTCAGGCGAAGGTGGAGGAGGGCGTAAAGAAGGGAAGACAACGATCCAGAAGTGGTGCCCGCGCTGGGGCGGGACCGCCACTCTGAACGACGGGAGCAAGACGCCGGTCCTGAAACGAGGCAGACGCTGCAGCGGGAGCACCGTTGCGAAAGCCCAGCAGCCACACAGCTGATACAACCTGCAACTCGCGATTCAGAATCCTGTATGTGAAGCCACGGTGCGCGGCGGGGGCAGGAGCACCACTGCCCATTTTCAGGGGAGGTAGGCGGGCACCACTCAGCGTGCGGAACTGCAGGAGAGGAGGGGGGAGAGGAGGGAAGAAGGACGGTTGGGGGAGAGAAGGAGGAGGAGGAGGAGGAGGAGGAGGAGGAGGAGGAGGAGGAGGAGGAGGAGGAGGAGGAGGGAGGGGAGGCCAAGGACGGCGAAGAGGACGACGCACAGCTCTGAAACTGACGCCCATGACAAGCATGACTGAGCGCGAGGGCGCATGACCGCTCTGACGTCAGGACGCTGGGCGCTCAGGGCAGCCGCCGACGGGGCCAGCTGATGAGTCTCATTGGTGGCGCGGCTGGGGCCACGTGGGGCGGTCCTCCGCGGCGGGGCCGCGATGCTGCGGGACGCTGCTTGGGCGGCGGTCACGCCAACGACCTGCGGACAGCCGACGGCGCGGTCACCAAGGCGGCCTGCCCCTGGACATCTGACTTGACGGTTGCCGTAGACCTCGGCTTGCTGCAACGAATCGGAGTCGTTCGGCCCCAGGGTCGCAGGGCGACGCCGCAATCGACGACAAGAACCGTGAAAGCTGCCACAGTCAGCGCCAAGACGCGCATCGCGCACAGGCTTTGTCCAAGACGTGGGGACATTTCAACACTGTCCCACCAACTGGGGACGAAGCGGTCGAGCTCCGAGGGTAAGAGCTCGAGTCCGCTGGGGAATGCTGTGCTGCTTCAAGGCAGTCGATTGCAAGCCGCGGATCATAGCTTCACGACTTGGCACAAGGACGCGAAGCCCTCACGTGCGGGAAACGTTGAACTCTTGCTGGCGGCGAGCACCAGCGTGACAGAAGAGCAGCAAGGTTGGCACGACTCTGCTCCCACGACCCTGACTAGTTAACCTGCCGTCCCCAGGCTAGTCAGAGCCGTCTCTGAAAGAAAAAGACCCACCGAGCGCACTGCTGCGACGGCAGCCGACTTCGTCGAAGCCGACCATGCACGCTGATACACTAATGGTGGGATCTCGGCCGATCCCAGAGGCAGCTGTTCCTGGGTGACAGCTGTCCTTGGGTTCATCGGCGAAGGGCCGAACAGCCAAGCAGGATGTATACCGCTGGCCTGCACGGCTCTGGCGAACCGATCCGAGCTGACCGTCTTTAGCAGCGGCGGAGGGCCCCCGGAAACTGGGAAGCGAACCTGTTGATGAAGCCTCGTCCGATCTCCCCGACCTTCCCTTGAAATGGGCATCTGGCATTGGTCTGCCAACTGTCAGGGGTCAGTGGTCGCCGTTCGCCCGCAGAGGAGGAGGAGGAGGAGGAGGAGGAGGAGGAGGAGGAGGAGGAGGAGGAGGAGGAGAGGAGGAGGAGGAGGAGGAGGGACGAGGAGGAGGAGGAGGAGGAGGAGGAGGAGGGAGGGGAGAAGGAGGAGGAGGAGGGAGGACGAGGAGGAGGAGGAGAGTAGAAGGAGGAGGGGAGGAGGAGGAGGAGGAGGAGGAGGAGGAGGAGAGGAGAAGGAGGGAGGAGGAGGAGGAGGACGAGGAGGAGGAGGAGGAGGAGGAGGAGGAGGAGGAGTAGAGGGAGAGGGACTGCACTGTACCGAGCGGCTCGGATGAACGGCCCTCCCCCCACAGCCCGAGCCGCACCCGCCGCGGCCCCGACCCCGTCACCTGCAGCAGCGCTGGCCCATCGAGCTAGGACGGCACTCGCGCACCGGGTGCTGCAAGCGTGCAACACACCTCTGGCGCGAACAGTAGCCTGGCAGCCTGCACGAACCTACGTACCAGCAATGCGAGCAAAGGCATGACTGCCGTGCCTCACGGCAGTGGCAGCCCTAGCCTGCATGCTGTCTCTCTCCTGGCCGGTCCCAAGAACCCGAACCAACTCCGCTCCCCCCCAGGCCCAATCTTGGCCGACTTGCAAACTCCCTTCAAAACTCGGATCTGCCTCTGGAGCACAGACTCCTCGGATACTCTTCAGCGGGGATGAAGGTTGGCACGCGCTTTGGCCGCCAGGTCGGCCGCAGAGTTTCCTAGGCGAAGCCATTTATCATAATCCGAGAGTCCCTCCTCTTCTAAGTGTGCTTGAACCTTCCGCACGTCGCCAATGTTGCTGTCACCTTACTGGAAGAACTGGAACATCCCAACACTCGGGCGAAACAACTAATTGTTTAAACGTTGAACAAATCAGCTACGGAAGGGGAGAAGGGAGCACGGGGGAGTGATGTGGGGGAGAGGATTGGGGGGAGGAGGTGGAGGGGGAGAAGGGAAACAGGGAGGGGGAGAAAAGGACGCCGAGCAGCAGCGGCAGCAGAATCAGGAAGGCAAGGGGGGAGAGGAGGAGAGACTAGAGAAGGAGGGGCACGCTGACGCAGGCAACGACAACGGCACAGACGACGACAAATGGGAGGAGGAGGAGGCAGGAGACTGAGATAGCTACGTAGGATTCGGGACGACGACGAAGACGACGAAAAGACCAGGTTGCAAACAAAGGAAGAGGAGCAGGAAGAGAAGGAGGAGAGAGAGGCACAGGATGAGGAACATGCGGAAGAGGGGTGAGGAGGAGTACGAGGAGGATGAGAAAGGATGAGGGGGGGGAAAGAGAAGGAAAGGATGAGGAGAAGGCATGGAGAGAAAGAGACGCATGGGGAGGAGAATGGGTGAGGAGGACGGAAACGACGACAAGAAGAGGGAGGGGAGGGACAGACGGATGATGGAGCACCAGGACGGATGAGGGTGACTGACGCCTGCTACAGCTGGCTCGGCAACACCACCGTACCGCCCGCCCGAGAAGTTTCCTCATCGACTGCAGCTTCACAGTTCGTGCCGTCCACATTCAGCGTGTGCAAACCGCAGGCCCCCCTTGCGGAGACCCCGTTGCGGCAGAGCAGGGGCGACGGCGGACGGGAAGGAGGGGCAGAAGCAGGGGGAGGAGGACAGCGATGAGGAGAAGAGAGGACGAGGGGGAGCGAGGAGGACGAGGGGGAGCGAGGAGGAGGAGGAGGAGGAGGAGGAGGAGGAGGAGGAGGGGGCGGACGTGAAGAAGGACGCAGAGGACGGGCTAGAGGAGGACGACGGGCGGCGGCGGCGAGGAGGCGCAGGAGGGAGGGAGAGGAGAACGAGAAGGAGGCAGGAGGAGGCGGAAGAGGCGGCGTGGGTAAGGAGGCGGAGGAGGAGGAGGAGGAGGAGGACGACGACGACGACGACGGCGAGGAGGAGGAGAAAGGAGGACGACGGGGAGGGAAGAGGAGGAGGAGTAAGAAGAGGAGGAGGAGGAGGAGGAGAGGCGTGGAGAGAGGAGGAAAAAGAGGAGGAGAGAGAGGGGGAAGGAAGGAAGACGACGACGACGACAAGGACGAGGGCGAGGTCGAGGACAACGAGGACGTCGAGGACGACGAGGACGACGAGGACAAGGCTCAAGCTTTGTCCCTCCAGGGGCCTCTGGCGACCGTCGGGGACCTCCGCGGACCTCCAGGGTGCCGCCAAGACCCCAGAGGGACACCAGAGCAGACCATACGGCACCAAGAGGCGCCAAAGAGGCCCTCGAGAGAAGACCAATAGGCAACCAAGGCGATCTAAGGAGCCAAGAAAGTAGCCAAAGGGGCCTGCAAGAGGTTGCCCGGAGAGACCGAAGATGACGCCTCGAAACAGGCATCAGAGTCAAAGCATACGACTATTACTACTACTACTACTACTACTACTACTACTACTACTACTACTACTACGACTACTACGACTACTACGACTACTACGACTACTACGACTACTACGACGACGACGACGACGACTACTACTACTACTACTACTAGTACTACTACTACTACTACTACTACTACTACTACCACTACTACTATTACTACTACTACTACTACTACTACTACTACTACTACTACTACTACTACTACTACTACTACTACTACTACTACTACTACTACTACTACTACTACTACTACTACTACTACTACTACTACTACTACTACTACTACTACTACTACTACTACTACTACTACTACTACTACTTATACGACTACTACTACTACTACTACTACTACTACTACTACTACTACTACTACTACTACTACTACTACTACTACTACTACTACTACTTCGACTACTTCGACTACTACTACTACTCCTACCACTACTACTACTACTACTACTACTACCACCACTACTACTACTACTACTACTACTACCACTACTACTAGCTTTCAGCGATCTCAGTATGCCTCTGGATTTTCGGACCAAGAAAGCTCCAGGAGGGCCCAGGAGGGGCCCAGGAGGGCCAGGGACAGCCCAAAGATGGCCGAAGAGGGCCCCATGAAGGCCCCAGGATGATCCAAAAAGCGACCCAAGACGGCCCAAGAGGTCCCCGAGAAGCCACTCAATGGCTCCGAAGTGCCTTAAGAGGCCGCGACGACAGCCTGAGAGGCCGATCATTCTTTCGAAATGAGAATTCAACACCAAAACAAATCCCAGATTGTTTCCGCGGCGGCTGGGGGAACACACAACCCAGCAGTTTTGCGAAACCATGGCCAAACGTTTGGCCCCATGGGCGCTGCCCAAAAGCAGGGGGCGACGGTGAATCGCCAGAAGCGTCTGCGATCTCTCACAGGACTCTAGCCCACGGACATCTGGCAACCGGTGCGAGTTGCTGAAATTGACCGAGACGAGCTTCTGGCAATTGGTCAGCATGGAAACATCCGCCAAATTGTCACAAACTGACAAATCCAACCAGATCAACTCCTTACAATACTGCAAGCCGCTCACATCTGACAGGCGCTTGCAGCCAGAAAGGTTCAGCACCCGCAGTTCCCTGCAGCCACCCAGCGCGGACACTGTCTCCAACATGGTGCAATTGAACAAATCCGAAAGACATCCCCGCTCGCCCGGGGTGGAAAGACGTGTGAGATGTGTGGTTGTTCCCCGAGCCTCCAACCGGGGGTGGGTTCGAAAATTCCGCTTGAAAGGGAAGGGGATAGGGGGGGCCCAGGTCTGCGGCACGGCGTGAGCATCTGGGCTCGAGGTCTCTCAAGCCGCTGCAGCTCCCGAGACCCGACACGTCCACGAGCCTCGAGGAGTTTCGGGCCGGGCGAAAGGGGGGAATAGCAAAGGGGGGGTTGAGAATCAGCTCACGTAGCTGATTTTCCCAGCGCCTCCCGGCGCCGGAGGCGGCTATGTATCGAGGAATGAGCCCCTCGGTGGGGCCGAAACCAGTTGCATGCAGCAGATTTTGTAACCCCCCCTTTCCCAATCCCCCCCTTTCGTTCGGCCCGAGAGTTGGAGAGGTCGAGCTTCTGCAGGCTCCGACAGCCGCCGAGCGCCGACACGTCCTCCAGGCTCTGGCACCCCGAGAGGTCCGCCTCCAGCAGGGCCCCGCAGCCCTCGAGGCCCTGGACGGCGGTGAGCAGCGGGCAGCAGCTGAGTTCCGGGTGCGCCACGGAGGGAGGGACCAGGAGGGGGTCAGCGCGCCACGACCCGCGGCACTTGCGCAGACGAGGGGAGGCGGGGGGGCCAGGGAGCGGTCGGAGGAGCCATAGAGGGGGCTATATAGTCAGTTATGGCAATCTGGGAGGCATCATTCCCCTGCAGACACGGTGTCCACACACACCCCGGGTCCTCGCCCGCCCTCCTGGGCGCCCCCGGGAGGTTGAGCGTCTTCAGCGCGGGGCAGCTGCCCAGAGCAGAGACGTCGGTGAGGCGGGGGCAATCCGACGCGTCCACGCTGGCCAGGCGCCTGCAGCCGGCGAGCTCGGACATGTCGGAGAGGCACGGCATCCTGGAGAGGAGCAGCGTGCGGAGGGTGCCGCAGGAGGCCAAGCCGCTCAGGCTAGAGAGGCTCGCGTCACCGGTCAGGTCAAGGAAGAACAGCCGCTTGCACTCGTGCAAGTCGGAGATGTCCACAAGTCTCTCGCACCAATTCGCGTACAGCGACGACAGCTCCGTGCAGCCGGCAAGGCCCCTCAGATCCTTCAGCCTGTTGCACTCGGTGAGGCTAAGCGACTTGAGCCGCTTGCATGCCGAGAGGCCCCTGATGTCTCGGAGCCTGCCGCACCAAGACAGGTCCAGATTGTGCAGCTGCGTGTTGGAGGCGGCCAGGAGGTCTGAGCCGGTTGGGCCCCGAGACAATCGTCAAGAGGGGGGGGATCGAGGGGCAAATCCGTTCAAAATCGGTCACCAGACGGGGCTCGAGAACGGCCCCCCGAACCCGAAACAGGCAAATGCCTTGTCCCCCCCTCCTGCTGGCCGCGCTCACCTCGGACCCCGAGCCGACTCCAAGCTGCGTGCACGCCCCCAGCGGGCTGGCGCTCCTCAGGCCCACGGCGCCGTGCAGACTCAGCACGCCGATGCTGTCCGCGAAGCCCTCGGTGCCGGCCAGCTCGGCAAGCTCGGCGTCGGTCAGGGCCTCCTGGAGCCACGCGCTCGTCGTGCGGAAGATCGGTGGCGCGCCCAGGGGGGGAAGGCAGAGGGGGTGGGCCTTCTCTCTGGGCCACCCTCGTTGTGTCCGAGTCGATGGGGGTCGGAACGTCGCGCCGCATCGCTGATGCATCGACGACGCGGCTCGATGTGGAGCCCCATTTTCCGCACGCCGGCGGGCGCCGATGCAGCGCAGACGTCGCGGATACATCGCCGATGCATCGCCAATGCATCGGCGATGCGGCACGATCCTCCGACCCCATCTGCTCGGACCCCATCTTCGAGGCCTCTCTGCTCTCAGAAGGCTCAGATGGCCTCCCGCCTTCTGGGAAGCCTCCTGGGCCTTCTCGGAAGGCCTTCGCGTCCCCCCTCGGCTCGGCCACACGCAAGAGCGACCTTTCGGGCAAGAGCGACCTCTGGTGCGCGGCCTTTCGGGGACCGCGGGGGGCCAAAAACACGAGTGCGCAAGGCGCCGCTGCCGCCCCGCGTTCGGCGACCGGGAGGCCCCAGCGGGCCCGCACCAGAGGTCCCTCCGGCGAAGGGTCCCTCCTCTGTCAGAGGCCCCCCAGATGGGGTCCGAGCAGATGGGGTCGGAAGATCGCGCCGCATCGCCGATGCATCGGCAATGTATCGGCGACGTATCGGCGATGCACTGGCGATGCATCGTCGACGTGGGGAGGATGCATTTGCGACGTCGACGTGAAGCACATCGGGCTACACATCGAGGCGCATCGGCGACGCTTCGGCGATGCGGCGCGAGCCTCCGACCACATCTACACTCCGACCCCATCGAATGGGGAAACCAAAAAGCACCGATGCCGCTCTTCCCCGTCCTCTCCCGGGGTGCGTTCTGACCAGAATTCCGAGGCGAATCCAGCGGTGGCGACGAGGGCATCCGAGGAGGCCCCCAAAAAAGGAAAACTTGTCTCCTCTGATTAGATCCGTGCAGCCTGCCTGGCGCGCCGCCGAGAAGAAGCCGGCGCGCGCCAGCCGCCCGACGTCGCCCGAGTGCACCCGGGCGTTGCAGCGCGCGAGGTCCACCGCGGCGCGCCGTCGCCTCAGCGCGGCGGCCACGGCCGTCGCCACCGGGGGGAGCGGCAGGGCATCCACGGGCCAGAGGAAGGGAGGAGCGGCACGGCGAAGCCGCGGACCAAAGAGGGTAATGATGTTCCAGCCTACTTTAGCCTGAAGCAGCAGAAAGTATATTTCGAGCACCATGAAAGTACCGAAGCTGGAGGGTTTTCACTTGTGGGGCCCTGGGAGGCGATACTCAATCGACACTGTTTCGATACTTTTCTGGGTGCTCGAAATCATTTCTGGGATGTGGGGAGCAACATGATAATTAGGGGAACAAAGCATGGCATAAACATACAATAACTCGGAGATCCGCGCGGATTTCTCGGATCCGCGCCGGGGCCCCCTGGCGGCGCTTCCAGCGCCGCCCCTGGCGCGCTCCGCGCGCCAGGAAGGGGGGTCCAGCGCGGATCCGAGAAATCCGCGCGGAGCTCCGACTTCTTGTGCTCGTGTCGTGCTTCCTTCCCCCGTACCCAAGACCACCCTTGCCCAGGGTCGCTCCTGCGTGCAGCCGAGTCAGGGGCGCTGGGGTGGTTGGCTCAGAGGGGGGGAGGGGGGGGGCGCATCGGGCGCTGGGGCGGGTTGGCTCAGGGGGGGGGTGGGGGGGGGCGCATCGACCCCCAATCGCCCACGCATCGTCGGCCTGGGCCCGATGGCCTGGGCCCGCACATGACGGCGCGAGTTCGCCATCGGGGGCCCCTCGCCGATGCCAGGCCGACGCTCCCCCCCCCCCCCCGCGGAGCTGGCCCCCCCCTTTGGCGCTGCCCCGTGGCGCGCGGTGCTCTCTGGAGGACTACACCCGTGCACGGAGAGCAGAAAAAAACACCCTCCTAATCCGCCGAGCCTGTCGGCGTGTGGAGGACGCGTCGTCGTCGTCGTCGTCGTCGCCGCCGTCATCGTCGTCGTCGTCCTCGTCGTCGTCGTCGTCGTTCAGGGTCGGCGGCACCGGCCGTAAGGCCTCTCCAAAACATGAGCAGCCCGACAAGAGAAGCCGTTCAGCAAACGCACCCCAGGGAGGAATCGAACGGGGCAGGGCTGTTCAGTAAAGGTCCGGGGCCGTGCAGCGAACGCCAATCGCATGGAGGTTGGGGTGGCTTGTCCTCCCTTGAGTGCCGGGCACGGGCATAAGCTTTCGGAGCACCGCGCGGATGCGTCTCAGATCGGCGCGGGGACCCCCAGGGCGGCGCCAGAGGCGCCGCCCTTGGCACGCCCCGCGCGCCGGGGAGGGAAGAGGTCCTGGAGGGACGAAAAAAGTACCGATCTTGGTACTGCCCGGACCTCTCCCCGATTTCGAGGCGGACCCGGCCGTGGCGACAAGAGAAGGGCCCGCGACGATGCAAGAGCCATCCGCGCGGGCCTCCGAAGGTCCGTCGTCGGCGGGGCATCGGCGACGCCGGCGAGGAGAACAGCGGGCTCCACACCGAGCCGCAGCGTCGATGCATCGGCGATGCGGCGCGATCCTCTGACCCCAGCTGCTCCGACCCCATCTGGGCGACGAAGAGCAAGGGGCCTCCCGCGAGATGGCAAAGCGACCTTACGCGGTGGCCCACGCGGGCCGAGAGCGCGGCGCGCTACACTGGAGACCAGGACACCCACTCGCGCCCTTACGCGGGCAGCTTACGCGCCGATGTCGGCGAAGACTCATCTGCCATCTGCCAGGCCAAGACTCAAGGAAAAGAACAATGACATAATCATTCGGGTCGGGCAAAAAGGTGGGGATAGCAAAGGGGGGGTTTGAGAATCAGCTCACGTAGCTGATTTTCCCGGCGCCTCCCGGCGCCGGAGGCGGCCATGTATCGAGGAATGGGCGCCTCGGTGAGGCCGAAACCATCTGCATGCAGCAAATTTCGTAACCCCCCCTTTCCCAATCCCCCCCTTTCGCCCGACCCGAATCATAAAACTAGGAAGTCCGCCGGACTCGTCGGATCGGTGCTGGACCACCTCCCTGGCGCGCGGAGCGCGCCGGGGGCGGCGCCAGAGGCACCGTCAGGGGGCCCAGCGCCGAAGTCCGCGCAGACTTTCAAAAACTGCTGTGCACGTCATTCTTTGTTCCCCGATAGACTGCGCCCGCGCTAAGAAGAAGCCAGGACGAGGGCCTTCGAGCGAGGACAAATCGAGAAGCTCTGAGATCCAGCGGCTCTGGAGGATGTCTCGGGCGCCGCGGCCTTCTCGGAACGGACTCCGACAGCTTAATCTTGTCCATGCTGTTGTTTGTCCCCCGACCAAGACCCCCGACGTCGTGATTCTTTCACAGCGTCGACCCCCAGAGGTCTCGATCCCCCTCCCCGGGACCGGCTCTTCGTCCTGAGTCGCCTTCTGACGGCCCCGGGGACGGGCCGAAAACGACCCGAAGCCTCCCGCCGTGACTTTTTGTTTGCTTTGCTCCACGGCGCGACCCCCCCCTCCGACGTGCCGCTGCCGCCCTTCCTCGGCATGGGCGCCACGCACGCCGCCACGACCGCCAGTGGGAGGTCGCCGAGCCCCACGGGCGCGCCCCCGCCCGCGCGGCGCAGCGCCCCGCCGGCGGCGAGGGCGCCAGGGCCCCCCCTGCGGCCGCAGCCCTGGGGCTGCTCCCGCCCCGCTCGCCTGGGCGCGAGGTCGCCTGCGTCCTCTCAGAGGCCTCCCGGGTGGGGTCCGAGCAGCAGGAGGAGGAGGAGGGAGGAGGGAGGAGGAGGGAGGAGGAGGGAGGAGGAGGAGGAGGAGGGAGGCAGGAGGAGGAGGGAGGCAGGAGGAAGAGGGAGGCAGGAGGAGGGAGGCAGGAGGAGGAGGAGGAGGGAGGAGGAGGAGGGGAGGAGGAGGAGGAGGAGGGAGGGCAGGAGGAGGAGGAGGAGGGAGGCAGGAGGAGGAGAAGGAGGGAGGAAGAGGAGGAGGAGTCATTTCCCCCCCATGGGGTCGACGGATCGCGCCGCATCGCCGATGCATCGCCGATGAACCGGCGATGCATCGGCGATGCATCATCGATGCATCGGCGAGATGCGTCGGCAGCGTCGGCGAGGGGAAGCACGGGCTCCGCATCGAGCCTCGCCGTCGATGCATCGGCGATGCGGCGCGATCCTCCGACCCCATCTACTCGGACCCCATCTAGGAGGCCGCCCGCGTCCTCGCTGGCGCTCGTGCCCTCCTCCTCGGGCTCCTCCTCGTCCTCCTCGTCCTCGGGCTGAGATCCGGGCGGTGCGATTTTTGTTTGCTGCGCACTGGGCCTATTCGCCCAGCTCGGGGCCCCGGGACCATCACGGATCGATCCCGCTCGAAAAATGCAGTAGAAAGATGGGGTCTAGGGTCAAGTCGGGCATGTCCCTCTACAGGGGGGACGTTCAAAATCGTCAAACAATAGTCGGGGGACGATGTTTCCTCAGTATGTTTGCGCATCTTGTGGTATTGTTTGGATATTTGTTATTTGTCCTCCGAAATTCGCCTGTAGGGGGACATGCCCGACCTAAGTCTAGGGCTCTGGTCGCGGTGATTCGCGATGTTGCAGTTTCTGTCGCACCGTCAGATCCCAGGCTCCTCCCACGAGAAGCGCTTTCTCTTGAGCCTCGACACCCTCGGCACGTTGAAGCCGGGCACGTAGCCCATGCCGCAGGCCATCCGCGCGGCCTCCTGCGGCTCCTGCAGGAGGACGCCCGCGGAAGCACGCGGTCACCAAACGCCCAGTCACAGCGCCGCGCGGCGCAGACCTTCAAGCTCGGCAAAAGGTGTCTGGAGCAGCTCGAGCCAAAACAGCCACGGATCAAGTTCGTCTCCACGCTCTCCAGGAGATCGGGGCGCGTCTTGCGGCCCGCCTCCGTTCGGGCGCTTTGGAGCGCTCGTGCCCACAAGAAGGCGACGGCCAGCGTTCGACTCCAGCGTCTTCCGTCGTTCCTGCTCCTCCCTCTCCTCTGGGCTGCGCTCGCGTCGCTGTAGAAAGAGCCGCCCAGAGATCCGAAGATCCTCCACCCATTTCCATATCTCCTTCTCTCCCTCCCTCCCCTCCCCCCCTCTCCCCCCGCTCCCTCCTCCTCATCCTCCTCTTCCTCCTCATCC